TAATTGAACCTGAAACTAATTGATGCTTTTCCTGGATTTACAGCAGCCAATTGGATGTGAAGTGCTCCAAGCCCCCACAGCTGTACAGTCCCAGAGGCAACTCCCTTGTCTCCGATGGTGTCCTAACAGCTTTTTTGCTGCTCATATCCTCTGCCTGCATTAAGCAGTTTAATTTCATGCAAGATTAACAAGTGTATTATTATCACATGGAGTTTCTTTCCTCAGAGAGAAGAAAATGTTTATTTACTTGCCTTGAAGTTCTACCCAGCAGACGAGGATCCCAGCTACTCTGGACAAGCACTGATACCTCTAAATGCTGGATCGCAGCCGCACATGGGACTATCAAGTATTCAGTGACTTGAGGCTCACCTCCCTTCAGCCAGCAGGGCGGATGCATTCAGGAGCAAAGTGCTTAATAGCATTTGAAAAATTCAGGGTATCATTAACTCCTGCTGGAGTCGATAGAGTCAAAGGTGCTTATTTAGCACCTCAAGGGGCACTGGGCAATGTTCAAGATCAGGCCTGTAAGGTTTACCACACTAGTTCACACCTCTGTCCATCCATTGCAGCATCCCGTTTCCAGCGCTGTCCAAAGCCTGATGAGTTGGAGGAAGGCAAAATGTCCCTAGTTATGCATCTAGCAAGTTGTGTGGTGCTATAAATGGGCAGGAGGGATTCATTCCTGACCCATGATTGGCTGGTGCTCTGGAGAATGAGATTTGATTACAAAGATCATAGGAACAAAGAAATTCTCTTCTGAGTGCACGGGAATTACATGTTTCTATATACTTTGAAATTATACCTTGAAGTGAGAGTTATTGGGAGCCCGTGGAGTCAGAGTGCTGAGGCTTTATCGTGAGCTACATGACACCAGCATTAGTGATCATTCTGATCCTGCATGGGAACCCACCCTGCACTGCCTAAACTTTCAAAATCCTGTTCCCTGCCACAATTCACTTTCAGAATATGATCTGAGGAAGTGGGTCTGCCCCACGAAAGCTCATCACCTAATAAACCATCTTGTTAGTCTTTAAAGTGCTACATATTTTTTTTCCTTTTGTTTTAACTTAGTTTCAGACCCTGATTGGATTTTTGGGAGCTGGTTTCATAGATAGTTGACCCAAATTCCTGAGTAGGATTGTGAAGTAGATTTCCCCAGAACATTAAAGATACCACCTAAGAGGGGCAGATGTGACATATGTCCAACCAGGGATTGGTCCTGCCTTGGGCAAGGGGCTGGACTTGATGACCTCCTGAGGTCTCTTCCAGCTCTATGATCCTCACATCAGGAGCATGTGTTCATGCAGCATGAACCAAGCCTCATACGGTTTAGCTTGATAGCCCATGCCCAGGCTGCAATGTGATGACTGGCTGAGACCCGAGAAGGGGTGATGTGACTCAGAGATTGAGAGAGGCAGGGAGAGTGACCTTGTTGTATCATATGCTTTGACTTTCCGAATTACTCCAGAACAAGGTCACCTCAGATGAAAGAAAATAGACTGCCCGTGGCTGACAAAATCTCAGGTTACTCGGCGCTCTTTACTTTTTCCCCAGCCCTGCTCTCTGTTACTAATGTGGCTCCTTTTCCCTGTCCCCTCTCTCTTTCTGGTCCTCCTTATTTTAACCAGTACGTTTGCCTGCAGCCCTGTCACCTGGTGTGGGGCTGTCAGTGTGCAGCGTCTAAGCAGAATTGGGCCAGATGAGTATTTGGATGACACAGGATAATGAGCATTTGTGGTGTTGCTGAATCAGCAGATGGCACTTTCTTCTCTAAGCCAGTGAACCTGTGTTGTGTCAAGAGGTACTTTGTCAGGCAGGCTTGGGTTGGACACACTCCACAAAGTTCCGACCTCTTGTCATCAGGAGGCAAGGCGTGCACCGACTGTAAGAGTAGAAGCTTATGTATAGTTATTATATATTTATACATGTGGGTGGTTGTAGATGTGTTAGCCTCAGTGCCCTGAGCAAATGCCTTCTCAGGAGCTTGCATTCCACAGCTTCCTCTGGATCCATTTCCTCTATCGAAGCTCTTACCTGGTGCTGTTGAGTAATCCTGCCTTTCTGGCTAGAGGTGGGAGAGTTAAGCATCATGAGATTTGCTTAACGGGTTTTATCGACTGCCCCCTTTATTTCTTGTCCAGCTTCAACTGCATCCTCAGCTCCTTTACCCTTTAGATCACCCAAGTCCTGTGCCCTCTTCCCCAGTGACTTCATTCCACTACTTTGCTGCCTCTGACCTCCATTCCCCGACCTCGTTTATCCTACAGTTCTAAACTGATGGTCCCTCACTTCTCATCCCTCTCTCTCAGGGCTCCCTTCCTGTGATCCCCACCTCATCTCATTTACCAAACTCACTCCCACCTGCCCTGGTCCGAGCCCACAATCCTCCTCACCTCTCCTACCCCTTTGTATTCCTGACCTCACTCCACTCCTTTGCTTCCACCTTCAACTCCAGCATCTTTTCTGTGCTTTTCTCTCCCTCCCTCCCCCTCCATTGCTCTGTTCTGTCCATCCCACCAATCTCTAGTCCCGTCTCATCACTCTGCTTACTCTGCTCCTGTTCCTGAAATGCTGAGATGCTCTGGAGAAAATCCAGGCACCACCTGAATTTTCATCAGCTCCACCTCATCCTCTTCATCCATCTTCTGCACAATGCAGTTCTACTTCTCCCCCAAACTGACTCCTGTGCCGTCGGTTCTGAGTATCTCTTCCCTACCTTTGACTGTCTCAGAAATCCTCTCCCCCCCCATGAATATCACCAGCTTTGAAGTGGAAATCAGCACCACTGTCAGGAACTGTCACTCCCCTCCCCCCCAGTACCCACTCTACCTTAGTCCAGTGGCCAATCTGAGGGGCCTCTCCTTCCTTTGAGGGCCAACCTTCAGTCTGCCCCCTTGACCACATCTCCTGAGGTATGATGGCCCTGCTCCCCCCTTCACCTACTATTCCTTGCCTTCAGCCTTCAAACAGACTATGGCTCCTCTCAGCCTCAAAACCTCCCCTTAAGCCCACCCACCTCTCCAGTTACTGGCCCCCTTCCTTCCTTCCGACTTCTAGAATGTGCCATCTGCTCTCACGGCCTCCGTTGTCTCTCATTTTGCCTCTGATACTCTGCCATTGGCCTCCCTTCCCGTTGACACTACCCTTCCCAAGGTCACTCACCAACCTCCAGTTCCAGACATAGCCTCCTTTCCAGCCTCATGCCCCTTGACTTCCCTCGCACCTTTGACACAGTTCTTGCCACACTGCTGCAGGCTGCCTGGATCCCACTCCCCTTCCCTCCAGTCCCCTCACACTGATAGTGCATGGAAACCAACCACATCCCTCACCTATTACTTCTCCCTCTTTGATCCCCTTTGTTAGATCCCTCACAGCCCACACCAGGGTCACGCTCCTGATCCTCACCACCTTCAAGGTTCTACACCACTGTGCTGTGACCTTCCCTACCCCTCCTGGTTCCCTGCCTGCTCTGCCCGCATCCCTCACCTAACCATCCCCTTTGCATTCCTGACCCTCTCCCTTCGGTGTGCCATCTTCCAGACTGCCTCTTTGAGCTGGAATTCCCTCCCGCTCATGGGCTCTGGTCTCCCAGAGACAATCACTTATTGCCTCTGGCAGAACAGGGCTCCTGTTGTGGTTGCATCCTTCCTTCTCCTGTTTCAAGTCTCCTCTCTGAACATACTTCTTCCATGAAGCCTGTCAGTGCCAGTCCACTACCCAGGGATCCATGTTATGTATTGGTGTTAAAAATTCCCACTGTCTTGCTAGGCAATGAATCTGCCTTTGGCTCAGTCAGACCTTTCTGTATCTGCCTGGATGTCCGTTGCCTCTCTATTCAGTAGTAAGCTCTTCCATACCCTGCTTGGAGCCGAGTACCTCAAAAGTAATGATAAGCATGGAAAGCGCTTTGAGATCTTCACCAGGAGAAAAGGTGCTTAGATATACAGTGATGGGCACAATGGAAAAAACTAAGATAGATCAAAGTATTATTGTTTTTAATTACTCTGACTCGTTGTTTCCGCCCATCTTCTTTTATTCACTCACTCATATTTCTCCATTATTCATTAATCTATCTCCATTCTCTCTCCTTTCATCTCGCCTCTCCTCTTTTTCCAATGCATTTGTAATGAATTTGTCTCTGATTTTCTTCCCTTCGCTGTCAGTCTGTCTTTCTCTGTCTCCTCCCCATCCACCCTCAGCCCCCATCCTCATCTCCGGCTCATCTGCATCCCATCTCCCACTCTCTGTTCTTTATGCATGAGCTAATTTCAGCTATTCCTTCACATGGGCTAAACGATCCACTCTGTTGTCCTCCAACAAATAAGCTGACAGGGTAATGAATGGCTTTGGATGGTAATTAGTGATGGAGTTGCTAATAATGAAATTCATTTACATTTTAAGCACTGCAGCGAGAGAGCGAGAGAAAAAAAGAGAGAGAGAGAGGGAGAGAGAAAGAGAGAGTAGGACCCTGTCATTAACACCCCCTGACATTCCTTGCCTTGGGGGGAGCTCCCTACCAATCAATTTTAGTGATGCGTAAACTGTTTAACATGATTGCACCTCATCTTCCCCATTTAGGAGGCTGTAATAAGCAGAGTTTGTTAAGCGGCAATTAGACAATAAATGTTGCCTTGGATTTAAATACCCAATCAGTGTAGCACTGTGGAGGCAGGCTCCATAGAAACACGCTGAGATTTCAGGATGCATCCAACCACTGGAGAAGAGGTGCGGAATTCTGCACTGGACCATTAAGCCAAATTCCTTCCCATTTGCCTCCCTAGTGTTTTAGCCTTAACTGCCTGCTTTGCTTAGCATCATGTCAGGCGTTAGCGGGCATAAATATTCACCCGGAGACAAATGCTGAGCACCCACAACTGCCACTGTTTTCAAATGTGGGGAAATCAGCATACAACATCCTCTGGGGTCT